GCAATCTGCAACGTGCCCCGCTCGACCACATCAGGCATCCGGTACACGTACGACTTTTGCATGAGGTATGCAGCGTACGTCGTGTTGTACATACATTCGAGGGATTAAAAGGTTAGGTGGAAAGAGGGAAAGGCGATTAAGACGGGGGAATTTAATAGTCAGGCGTTATTAACTTGTTAACAAAGCTACGTCCCCTTTCTTTGGCTTTGTTTGGGTAACGGGAATGGTAAAACGGAATATCGAACGAGTTCTGCGGAGCTTGAGTGGGTTTACTTCTTTGCGTGTCTGTTAAACCGGAGGGGATGCTGGAGAAAGTGTGCTTCGCGTGAGAGGGAGTGTGAATGGTTTGTTGGAGAATGTGAAATAATTTTTTGGAGATGTTGATTAATTGAGAAAAATGTGAGCCGCATAAGCTGATACGAGCAACCTAAGATTATTGAAATTATTATCGAAGTAAATTTAAATTTCTTATAAAATTATAAAATTTATAAGTAATCAAAGTTATTTTTTGAACTATGACGCTGCTTTCCAAAAAGTCTGAAAGAAATCTGTGGTCATTTGATAACTTCGATAAAAGATTGGCATTTCAAATGTTGTTTAATTTTTGAAAAAGAGGTTTTCCATTGAAAAAATCTGAAAAAATTCTCAGATATGTAACACTCCGGCTATAGTATCTCAGATTTTTTTCGTAACTTTTTGTCGGATAGAACGAATGAAATCAAGTCTGAAATGAAAATGACGTTTAGGTCGATAACTGCCCTAATAATAGGGGTAGAGGGTTGAAATTTTCAGGAAATGGTCTTCCCAGGAAGCTCTTTCAAATAACGTATAATACGTTTCATTTGGTTCATGGGCACTTTTACCTTCGGCTAGACCCTTTGTTTTAAATTTGTTAGAAACGTTTCGGAAAGAATGATTTCTCTGTTATTAGTATTCCTAATAAATTACGAATAAAGCCATAAATTTCTTTTGTCTCTATGTCAACCATGCATAGTGAAAGTGTAGAATTTTTTAAAACATTTTTCCTCAGAATTTTTCCAATTTTTCAATTTCAAAAGTACAACGTCAAGCCTGTTTCCAACCCTTTCGCTTGTTCCCTTTAAATACTTCCCAGCCCGAAACAGAAATTTCCGATGTAAATAGTCGCGCTTTGGACACGCTCCTCCACCTTGAACCAAAGAAATATCAAATCCTCTCCGCGGCGTTTCTGACATTTTCTTTCTAACAGCGTCCAACATACAAGGTGAACTTTTATTTCGTGCCACAACTACATACCTAACTGCTTCTTTTGCAATTCAACCCCAGCATACAGAGCAAAGTTCCCCGGGTTTCCTCCGTTTTTCTGACCTTGACTTCTTCCATTGCGCGAATGTAGCTTTTTATAGTGGTGTACGCGACTCCGGATGTTCGCCATTAAATGGCTCCCACACTTACCGCTTCGCTACGTGAAAGACACTAGCTATGTGGCATCTCGCACACCCAGCTAATATACGACCGAGACTTTTGTACTTACTTTCGAGCACACGGCAAACAAGCGCGAATGCTAGAAACTGCGCTCGTGTATGATGAAAGGAAGAGGACAGGTGTAGAAGGGAGGAGCACTTAGTATTTCAGTAAAATTAATTTCAGGTTTAATCGAAGAGGACGGTATAGCTTTTGAGGAGAGACACTTAGTATTCGAGGAAAATTAATTTCAGATTGAAGTTTGCGATCGAACAGGAGTTCATACTTTTCGAATACCCAATTTCTGTTCACTTTATCGCCTGGTACCGTAATTCATTGTTAATTTACGAGTATTTTTTCTGTATGAAGAACAAAACTGTGGTTCCATATTTTTATTGGAAAAGATTGTCAAATTATTTGGTAGTAATTTGGATATAATGATTAAATATGAAGTGAGACAATTTTATTGTTATTTTATTTTAGTGTTTTTTTTCTGTATAAAGGAAAAAATTCTGGCTCCGTATATTTATGAGAAAAGATTGTCGAATTATTTCATAGAAATTGGGGCAAAGTGATTAAATGTAAGACGAGATAATGGAATACGATGTAATTAAGGATGAAAAAAGAAATTCTTAGCAGATATTTGTTTATGAATTTTTTTATAATTGAAGTGTATAATTCGTAAGCAATCTGAAGGAATGTAACTATACTTTGTAAGCAGTGTATGCTATTAAAATTAATTGCACTAGCCTTCTCATTTGAAGATAATCAATACTTCAAGTCTGCAAGGACCTCCTCTTCGAGTGACATCAAGTGCTCAGGGAAATCTGTTGTGTGCTCGTGACATTATGACAAAAATATCTTTACTTAACGAGGAAAACGAGAAAGAAGAAAGAATATGAACTGGTCGAATGCAAATACTCGTTTTAATCTTGAATATTAAAAAAATTAATCTTAAATTACTTTCCGACATAATTTGCATACAAATTGAGATATTTATTCTATCGGTTGGTCAATTTTTCTATACCTTCGCCGAAAAAATCATCGTCAAACTTTCCCAAAATAATATTCAATCTATCTCTGAAATCTAAACTCCGTCCTATCTAAATTTAACAAAAAATTGAAATTTTCAAAAAAAATCGTTCTCTAAAAACCCCCAATTTTCGCAAAAAAATGAAAAAAAAAAATAGAACTCACTCAACCTTTATTTGTTACATTTTCTGTAGAAAATTACTCAGAAATGTCCATCGTATCATTTCAGCATTTAATTATCACATGAATATTTACATTCAATAATCGATACATTTCAACTTTAATGAACAATCGTCCCACAGATTGTTATTTCGAGGTAAAACAAACATCGCTTCGCAAAACCCGTTCAACTTTCATATACCACTTTATAGCAATAATTAATATTCATAGAATTCGCGATACCTTGAAATTTCCCAACGTTCCCGAAATGAAAGATCTGGTTTGCACGAAAATCTTAATTCTCCCACGTACACGAATAATTAGAGTAGATCGCCATCAGCCCGAGTGCAAATCCAACGATTAGATTCTACCGGCCACCTAGGTGTTGACGTGTCATTATGTTGCACGCTGATTACGTCAGTCAGGCGTCCCTAAAGCAGATAATCATCATTTATCAAGATAAGTAGCTGCGTGGTCTGTCGTGCAGCAGTGAACACAGCCGCAAGCATCTTGCACCCCTTTCCTTATTGCCCTGCAATTACGTAATTGTCGAGGATATTGCCGATGGAATGGAAAGCGCGACACCGTGAAATCTATCCAAATAATTATCCCCAATTATCAGAGGAATGTTTCGTTCGTTAATTCAGTCGATCTGTTTTCTCGACGAACGTCTTAAAACCTTCCTTCGTTTCGCTGGTACGAAGGAAAAATTGGAAGGTTCGAGGAGTAATGTGCCTTGAAACATTCACAGACGGTAGAGTTGAAATTGCCGATAGAAATGGAATTCACGTTTCAATAGAATTGAAACATTCACAGGTTATTATTGTAGGAACCAACGACGGAAAAAAGTATCGAGGGACCCAACGGGAATCGAACCCGGGACCTACGGCTTAGCAAGTCGAGGCTTTGCGCGCTACGCTAACCAGTCCCTCTGCAGGGTGTCCCGTAACTCCTCGAACACCCGGAAATGGGGGGTTTCTGGGGTGACTCTGAACAACTTTTTCCTTTACCAAAATGTTGGTTGAAGCTTCGTTTTTGAATTATTAACGAAAAACACTGGCCAATCAGAGCGCGCGTAGAGCTCGCGCTCAGGGACGGAGAACAGAGGCTCACTGCGCGCGATTCCGACTAATTGCAATTTTTTCAAAAATTTATACAAACGTAGGAATGACGGCAAAAACCCATTTCTCTAAGCCTTATAAAAATAGCGGTGCAAAGTCAAATTTTTTTGAGAGCGATCGATAACCGTGAAGTCACGCGTACGCATTTGTTCGATCGCGCGCGGATGAACCTCTGTTCTCCGTCCCTGAGCGCGGGCTCTACGCGCGCTCTGATTGGCCAGTGTTTTTCGTTAATAATTCAAAAATGAAGCTTCAAGCAACATTTTGGTAAAGGAAAAAGTTGTTCAGAGTCACCCCAACAACCCCCCATTTCCGGGTTTTCGAGGAGTTACGGGACACCCTGTATATTCTCCCGTGTCGGTTTCCTATTTTTTTGTGTATGGAAGCCCCGACACTACACTATTAAGGGTGGAAAATATTTTCACGTTGGACGCATGAATATTTTTATTTTTGTGTTATTATCTGGTTGGTGTGTACGAAGATTAGAGGAAAACGTTTTGTTTGCTTTTTGAATACATTGTTTAATTAAAATAATATCCATTAGCTTGTGTGCATGCTTTGCAACGAGGAACTAATTTAATTATCTCTTTGCAATAGAAGTCTGCGTCCTTGATGGAACGAATTTTTTGCTCCCTTTCATTTGCAAAATCTGATCTTTTAAAGAATTACCTGGGTAAATGGAAATTAGTTTGAAAAAGACTGGAGAAATAGAATTTCATTAACTAGATGGATCTTTGAAACCTAAATGATATCTGTGAGAAGGAAGAATTTTTATTTGTTCACTGGCAACGAAAATAATAGAGAAATCGTGTTACACGATTCACTCTGTATATCCGATTGAATAGAATTACGATTAAAATTCACCCACGGAATATTCATAAATAACATTTGCATCTGCACGTGCGATAGGTAAACTGTTTTTTAAATTTCAACTATGCAGCGCGATAAAAAAAATTCTAGCTGACAGTCGTTTAGAGAAATCGTAATCTTTCAGCCTGTGAGCCAACGCTTTTTAATATAAAACATTTATCAAATACACGAATAATTTGTATATACATAAATGTACTTTAAATTTGCAACAGATGAAATAATTTCCACAGGCACGATGTTCATTTACACTTCGCGGAAAGTTCGTCCTTTGACGTATTTAAAAGTTGAGTCCGAATGTCGCTTAAAACTATGAAAACGTCGCAAATAAGAGAAATTAGTTTCCGTCCGACCATTTATCACTCGTTTCTGTTTCAGGGCTGTTCGAAACGGACGGCGTGTTAATTCCTGGTACGATGTGCGACCTCGAGTTTGTCAGTTCGCAGTCAAAACGGCTATACGGACGTTTCTACTCGCCACAGTACCCGTCCTCCTACCCAAAGAACATCCGGTGCTCGTACCTCTTCCGGGCAAGGTAACTAGACTGACCTACTATCAAGCTGGCAAACTGATCCCGACATAATCCATATATAATGCATTTCGAGGGCAATCTCAAGTTGTGCCATATATATCCAACGCTTCTCACGCATTTACCAGCTCGAATCCGTAATCTGGCGCGCCAGTTAATTAACACCTGATCCACGTGTCCTTCGTCTTCTGGCGTTCGATTGACACTTCGTTGATCGATTGATCGGCAATTGTTATTGATAAGTGGACACGTTTTGTAACTGTTACCCGGGTAATGCCTGGGAGCAATTTCGCGGAGAAGGAACTGTTGGGAAAATTGATGGCTCGGTATATATGTACGTGTACTACTTGCGAGGGGATATCTCCCAGTAGTAATCACCGATTTTGATGAAACTTCGGGATATTGTAGTTCTTGAGAAAGTATTTGATAGATATTTTTTTGTGGTGGTAATTGTTCACTGTGGAGAGGTGGAAATGGCAGTTGAAGTTGGAAAGTTTAGTTTAACATTTTGAAAATTATTTCAGTTGGAGAAATAGTGAAAATTGACAATTTTGTATTTTTCAATGGTTTTGGAAAGGTAACGAGAGGAAAATAAATATTCGTTGAAAGCGATGAAACTTTGGGATATTGTAGTTCTGGAGAGAATATTAGACACGTATTTTTTTTGAATTGGCAATTATTCACTGCGAAAGGGTGAAAATCGCCCTCAAAGTTTAGTGTATTCAGTGTAATATTTCGAAAATTATTAGAGATAAAGAAATAGTGAAAATTGGCGAATTTTGTATTTTTCAACGATAAATTTGGAAAGCTAATGAAAGAAAAATAACGAAACTTTGGGATATGGTAGTTCTCGAGAAAATATTCCACACGTATGTTTTTCTGTCGACAATCGTTCACAGTGAAAGGATGAAAATGTTTAGTATAATATTTCAAAAATTATTAGAAATAGAGAAATAGTGAAGATTGACGAATTTCAAAAAATGAAAAATGAAAAATACTAATTACTTTTGACCAAATATCTTTATTATCTTTATCTTCAAGGGCGGTTTTCAATTTGATATATTTTTCGAGTCCCACCATACACACCAAAGTTCCGAATACCATAGACGAAGGAACGATACACTCTAAACTCGACTTTTTATCGAATAAAGCGTTCGACTCGCTCATTTTCGGAAAATTCCTCTCGTCGTCGAGTCCCTTAACTCTTAACTAATAACTTCTCTTGCGCGTAATTTCGAACGGCTGGTCCTTCTAGTCACCAGCAATTTTCCGGTTCTCTGACCGGAGCAACTTTCCTCGTTTCTCATCTCCGTCCTTCATTGCGTCGACTGTTCAAAGTTTATTCCTATTGTGTCGAGCATTTTCGATGTAACCGCATAAAGGGCTAGTCAGGATGTAAAAGAGAAGAGTTGTCGACACGGAAGTATAGAAAACGCTGCTATTCTTCGGTTTCGAGCCAGGAAATAATGCAGCGACTACTTTCAGGGAAAAATAGACAGGTCTAACTAAAGATATTCCTCGAACTTGTAAACTGACTTGTGGAATTTGTAACAATTGCGATAGATTTTAGGGACTTTACGATGGATGTGATTTAACGAACAGCGGTAATTTATATCTAATTTATCTAATGTTGCTTAATAAATTAGAAACACCATGAGAGTGTGGTTTGTGCTTGCCAGAACATGCAGTGAGAATTAGTTGGTGGAAATTCGAGTCATTTTTCACGTCTGTTTTTATCTACAATTACGAAGTTTCCTGACAGCGATTGGAATAAGGAAAAGTATTTTAAATTCGCTAATATTAGTTGACGTTATAATACGTTCTTTATCGTAGAGATCTCTGTTGAATTATTCTGACAGTACTGAGGAAACTGTGGCGGAAATAAATCACACAGAAATGAAATACCTAATGGAAGAAAATGTGTGAAAATTGAAACTGAGAGAGATTTAAAGTTAAAGGAGATGTATAGTTGAGAATCAGAATAAGGTCTCCTATTTTTTAACGTAACCAGAAAAATATGTTATGATATTTGCAATTAAAACAGCAAAATCAGCAGCGTGATTTAACGTGGAATTTTGTCGTCATTCCGTTTTATTAATAATTACAGCGAAACTGTAGGTGAAATTTTTACTAGCCACATTGCGCTTTGGTAATGAATTTTGAAAGTTTAACGACACATGGTTGGTTAATTATTATCGAAGGAAGAAGATTCTGCTTCCGTCGGGATAATATTGAAAACCTATTAACATCGAGATATTTCCATATTGACAATTGTAATTTTTCTCGAATAATAAGCTTATGAAGTTATTAAAATAAGTTTGGAAAATACTGCTAATTCATTTTTACTTTTTGTCACTCATTGTTGAATAATAGAAAGTGTATTATTTTTGGAAGCAGGAAAAGGGTTGTTTCACAAACAATATTTCTATTCTTCCTGGAGACAGAAAGTAATTAGATTCTTCCCTCTCGTGAACCCATCTCTACAATTCAGTTATGTTCTTTCGATCTTGTTAGAAAAGGTGTCCAAAAGTAATTATTTATTTTTCGGGCAAAGTTCTCCTAATCGAACGTTACATCTTGGGAGAGAATTTCGTGTATCTTTTGTAAAGCATATCTATATAATTTGTTTAAGTGAAAAAACATTAAATATAATTGATCTTCAATTTTGAGATTCGTCGAGTTTCCTGCTACCATACATCGTTTTCACAAAACAATCCAGTATACCCGATAAATATTTGTTCATTTTTTCATTTACAGCTCCAATATTTATTTTCGCAATTTTGTCAAGCCACGTGACAGTATTCAATGTAAACCAATATTTCAAACTTCACCATACGTGTACCAAGTACGAAAACAAGAGAAGTTCGACCAAATCTGTCACAAATGTTCCGAAAAGAAATTCGATTATTCCACTTTCGGTGGTCATAAACAACTTTTATCGTCCCAAACTCCTCCAATTTTTTCTTTCTTCTCTCCCCCGCATAACTCATCCGCAATTCCCACGTTTTTAATTTAGCCCGTAGGAATCGCGAGCGCGTGCAAGTGCCTTCGTCTAAAATCACGGTCGATTCGCTAATTCCAGGATGTCATTCATACATAGTGAATTTAATCGCGGCGGCGGACCGTCATGCAGATATGATTTCCGTAGTATTGCGGCTTCTGCTTAATTGCAGTAATTGTATCAAAGTAGCGTTTCCAGTGCAGTATGCCTAACAGTTACGTCAGAATTACAACACATCACGCATAACCATAAACCTGACGGATGTGCATGTACACGCGTGCACAATCCGTTCGGCGTGTATTCATGACTGTCATTACATTAACGCCACAAATTGCGTTCCGATACTCGCCAGCTCGTTTAACGACGAGGCTGTTGTCGTTGCGGAAAGTAGGCATGTCCCTGGCAATGCTGTTTCGGCTCAACCACCAATGTTGGCAATATAGTTTATGCGCGTCGTGCTCTGGTGAAGTGTCAGGTCGTTTCATAAGTTTCTGTCCAATTTTGTCATCTAGATCATTTACATTTAATAAAAAGAGAACCTAAGTGTCTTTTAATTCCACGAATTCTTCCTATTTTCTTTTTTTTTTTGAGGGGGGAGGATTATTATGTTACTGTAGAATTTTCTTGGATTTTCGTTGAAGTATTTTTCGCTTTCGACACGAATTTTTTGGACGACTTAATATATTTTTGAGCCTGAGAGACAGACTGACCTAAGCTCTGTATTGTAATTATATAGAAGAAGAAGTTATCGGTGATCAGACATAAGACAATATTATGTAATACTGCAAGTAGAATTAAATCTTTTTTTATTTAGTGTGTAATATCAATATCTCTTTGTGGCTCTAAAAAAAGTAAAGAAAGGAGCATCAAGATAGTATAACTGAAGATATGACTCAATTTTGAAGGTATGGAGTTGAGTTCGTCTGACTCTAAGAATTAAATACTGAAAATAGTCTGTGTTAAAGAAATTATCATTAATTTTGTGTAAAATGTTTTCCCTCTTAAATGCATAATTCGGGAATTCACAAATACATCTAATAACGTCAACAATTCATTACGAAATGATAATATTTGAAATTGTCATTTTCTTAATGAACTTTCGCGCGTGTCGAATTTAAAATCGATTTTTACACCCCTTCTACTATTTTCCCTTTGTGACAAAATAATAGTAATATCAAACGTAATTTAAGGACATTCATTTAAAGGAATATTTATCTAATTTCAGGTTAAAGGAAAGGATACGTCTATTTTTCGAGGAGATTGCTCTACAAAATGGGGACTTAAGGTGAGTTTTCACACACTACCAATTGTCTTTCCATTTCAAATATCAAATATTACACTTTGATATTACTTTCGGTTATTTTACGTTCAAGCAGAATAACAAAACGTGCGTGACGAATAATTCGGCAATTCTGTACACATTTATACAAAATGAAACGTGCAGAAATACATTTACGCGAAATATATTGCAGCTCACTTTTATTCGAACTTATTAAATTTGCTTAAATTCTCCTCTTATAACGTGATTACGTGAAAATCTGTCAGTTATTAAATCCCACGGAAAAATTCGTTTACTCGTTGCTAATACGATTAAGTAAAAAAGCATCAAATAAAATGATTTAGTTATTTCATATTTTTGTATCGAACCGAATATGTCAGTTCACATGAACGTACGAGAAATGAATGTTTGATAAATGTTTCCTGTATACGAACAAATACGCGGGGTTTACCGGCAGGCAAAAGCGTAAAGAAGGAACTAAAGACACGAGGTAAAGGAAATACGTAGTTCACGATGGTAAGAGTGGTTCTATATTTTAAGCGTGTGTCAACAACAGAAATAGAGGGGATCTTCGTTGTACAGAGAGTCGTCTGGGTAAACTTGTTTATACAGATATTTTCAAATGTAAATCGACATTTTCCACGGGAAATGACAAAGATTTTATCCGTCTTTCCTTCCAAGTAACAAGTAAATAATTCATGGATACGTTCTTTGCGATGCTATTAGATGATTTAACGCAACAAACTAAATTAACAGCATTATCATTCGGGAAAAATTGATTTTTCCAACAAGAATCCTTTTTCTTATTTCGAAGAATTTGCGTTGCAAAATAGAATGTGACGTTGTAACAACCATCAACGAAGACGGCGACAAAAATTTCCATTCCGCGAGAGGAAGTGAGAGGGACGACTCTCTATCCTCGTCGTCAATCAAATAATCGCGAAGCGATAGAAGCTTCTAGGAGAAACTAGCTTGCGATGCGCGGGAGACTCGCGGTTTTACGCGGGAGATTCGCAGTTTTACGCGGGAGTCTCGCGGTTTCGCGCGGGAAACCACTTAGCGACGCGTCTTAGCGAAGCCGCGCTTCATTAGCAACGCTCAAGTATAAATACCAGGGCCGCGGCCGCGGCCAGGCATTCTTGCTGTGCTCTGCTGGGAGAGAGGTCGCCCTTCAGAGTGGGAGAGTACGGAGCCCAGCTTTCGGACGCCCTTGCAGCACAGGAGAGTACGGGGACTGACACCTGGGTCACTCTCTGGAGGAGAGAACGGCTGGACTATCCACCGGTCGCCTGAGGAGGAGAGTACAGGGAGGTTACCCGGACGCCTGAGGAAGCTCGGAGAGGATTGCTTAGTACCAGCACCAGAAGGTGGTACGGAGAGAACGGCTGGACTATCCGCCGGTCGCCTTTGAGAGAGGAGAGTACAGGGAGGTCACCCGGACGCCTGAGGAAGCTCGGGAGAGGATTGCTTAGTACTTCTGGTGGTACGGAGAGAACAGCTGGACTATCCGCCGGTCGCCTACCAGGAGAAGTGCGGGTGGACTCTCCGATCATACGCGTATCACTTGAATACTGTGATAGGAGAGTACGAGAGCTATACCTGGGTCGCTCCTGGAATGGAAAGAACAGCTGGACTATCCGCCGGACGCCTTCCAGAGAGTAGAGTACAGGAGGCTCACCGGACGCTTCCCACAGTAAGTGTTATAAATCGTTTTATCCGTTTCGTTAATACTGTAACGGGAGAGTACGGCTGCTTAAAGCCGGACGCCCGAAGGCAAAAGCAACAGCTCGAACACCGCACTGATTTGTTCGAAATTATTTTGTACCAAACATGTAACATGTATCGACGAAAGATAAATTAACTTTTGTGTGTTTTTTTCCCAGATACCAAAGAATATCCTTGCATTCCATAAAATCCTACTACAACGTGAATATTCGTACTTTCTAACGCAAATTTTGCAAAAAAATGCACGAGAAAAGGAACGCGTATTAATTACTCACGAATCTTAACTTCAAACTTTCTACCTACACATTACGTCCTCCGTGTAAACACACCTGTACGCAATAATTCCAGAGAAAAAAAAAATACACCTGTTCTGCATCCCCGAAAAAAGAAAAACTCGTATATTCGGTAAAAAAAAAAAAAAATACCGCTGAACATCAAACGCGGCGTATCTTTCTCGTTTCCCGACGTTTGATTTATTCCGCTGAATTATCTACAAACACGCAGTTTGTTGCGCTGGCAACACGGACGAACGATGTTGCGAATAAATGCATTCGTAATAATTCGCCAGACGAAATATAAGCCGGTGTTTCTCTGTCATCTGGTACGACTACAAGCCGATAAAGTTGAAAATCATATTACCGGTCAACCGGCAACGAAGCCCGTTACGCGTTCTCCCGGGTCGGAGGTTACACTTTGAAAATTCACCGGCGCGTAAATGATTTAGAAATTTTTCTACCGGAGCTTCCGATAAATTTACAAGAGTACCCCTCTCCGTGTACTACAGAGCTGCGAGTTCGTTTGTACGTGGTGTATTCGAGATAGAAATCGAGTTCGCTAAGTTTTAGGGGATGGAAAGGTGGGGGCGGGAAAGAGGAACAGCGAGGGAAATAGGAAAAGAAAATTGTAATTTAGCGAATAGGATCGAAGTTGCAAGTTGAGCAAGTATTACTCGAGCTGCTTTAACTTGTAGCGATAGAATACTCGGATAAATTATACCAGTATCGTTAATTCGGTGTCTGTGAGAAAATTGTGAATTGTTCGTGAGAGTAACGTAATCGATATTGGTGAAACGTATTTTTTTTTATTGGCAATTATATTATTGGTCATAGAGATATTCGGCTAAAATTATTTATAATTTTTAATTTTTCAAGTTTGTCGATGAAAACTGCAAAATTCGTCCATTTAGGCTATTCTTCTGTCTTTGATCATTTTTGAGATGTTAGAGTAAATTAGACAGTTGTAGAAATTTTCTTCATTCTGAAGGAAATTAAATGAAAATGAAGAAAATTAAGTGTCGTGAAATTTTTCGATTTGACAAACTGGACAGTCGAATTTAGAAATATATGAAAGCTTTGATACGTGTTTCTTTGCGAAATCAGCGAAGTGAGATTTTATTGGGTGGGATGTCAGAAAGGAGACTTTCAGCCATTTTTCAGGAATTACAATAGCAGTGAAAGTAATTTATACGTTCATAACAAATGGGACACCTTGTACATTTCAAGAGTTTTAGCACCATTTTAGCATCAAATTATTACCATTCAACAAGAGATAATTAATTTGGTTCTCGTATTTCACAGAAAGCAGTGGGAAAAGTTTTAAGCATTTTTCAGCCTCGATATAATTGGACTTGTTACTTTCGTTACTCGTTCCGTTTTGCGTTATTAATAAAGACAATTATTATTACCACTGCAAGAATTACCGACCTGAATAATTTTCGCGTAAATATTTAACTGTTAATTGCGAGGTATTTCAATTATTTTTAATATTTCGACTCTTGTCTGCTCCTATGCTGTAAAAACAATCTAATTTATCGAAACAGTGTTAATTGTTAATTCTGATAAACTTTCGTCTTAATCGAAATTCGTCGTAATCAAAATTATGTCACGAATACGTCACGTATTATCAAAAAAAGAAATACGTATTACAAAAAACACTAAGGTTGCCTGTTTCACCATCGCATCCTGTATATTTTCTTCACTTCTCACTTTTGCAGCGAAACTTTCGAAAATCCAAAATTCCCTTTCGAAATCTTTACGAAATTGTTTATTTTAATTTCTTCCGTTAATTCACTTTATTCTAATACAAACGAGACTTGAACGAAGCTATGCTTTACATCACGAATGTCACCATACTGGCGCTAGTATAGTGCAAAGGGTTAATCACTAGATTGCGAATTCATATTTTTTCGAATATACTAAAAAAAGTAGATCCTCCATAATTTCACCTACCAGCTATTAGGGGGAGTTCCCTTTGTGGGTAAATAACACCTGGTCGGAGTTTTGAACATATATGTATTCAATAAGGACAATTGCGCAACGAAGATAGCAATGCATTAATGGGAATATTGATCAGCTGAACAATGCTCTCTTATTGTTTTCATTAACCACGCTGCTCTACTGTGTACTCTCCTATTTCTACTAGCTAGCGGGCAGTGGCCCGCTTCGCCAATCTCAAGCCGTTTCGAGCATCAGCCATAGATCGTACCGACTCCCAGAATGTCCACATATGCACTACCGGCCAAAAGTTTCGAATCACCTTCCACTTTTCATCGATATATCGAGATTTCAAGTTTATCTCAATTCTACTTTTACCAATTTATCTCGTACCAATTGATTCGAACGATAAAAAATTCTCAAAGTCGATGACTTTTTTCTGGAAATTTTTGTGTAAATTGCAATGCTCGGTGATTCCAAACTTTTGGCCGGTAGTGTATTCAAACCAAGCACAGGACATTCGCGCCATCATTCACAACACATTAGTAAAACCAAGTCCGCACCCTTAACGCCGGACGGCACCTAATATCGGACATTAGTTACGTCTGCAATAATTGAAACTCTACCGAGCCGTTATTCCGCGTATCTCCTAGAGGAGACAAAAGGAATAAGAATAAGTTTCCTACGCTTTTCAGTCGCGTGTGCACAGGTAGAGAGATTTATTTAAGAAAAACCTTAAGCGTGCGGTGCTAGGGGAACTCCCCCTATAAAAAGCACTACAATTTTGACATTTCCTATCTTTCCTCGTATCGCCTGCATTCTGTGCAACGTCGTACATTCCTACAAACGCATCAAAGAATCCACCCTCGATTAATCACATTTTCCTTCATTCGTTCGAGCACGAAAGAATCGTTTCCACCCCTGACAATTTAATTACAAGTCGAATGCGTGATGTTCATAAAGGTTTCATACGCAACTCTTTCCGGGAGTGTCTCATAAATTTTAAAACCCCTCCGCCTCCCTCCTCTCCCTCGCCCCCCATATAAAAGCCACGCACACTCTCTCGCG